TCCTGGCATCTTTTGTGGCATCTTTTTAGCTTGTCTCCTGCCGAGAAGCTGGTTTTTGGGTCTTACTTTTCTCCCACACTGAACCGTTCCCTGAGCCACAGTCTTGGTGCAGGTGATTGAGTTTCTGCTTAACCTCTCTCACTTTCTAAGTCTGTGGCATGAAGTTCAGTCTCTGTACGATGGTGGCTGGGGCCTCCTTGTCTGGTTTCCTGGAGCTCCTGACTGTGACTGATGATAGGTTACTGCTTGGGTGGCTGCCAGCCGAGGGATGCTGTGTTGACACAGGCTGGCCGTCCCTTAAGCACTCTATCTTTGTGTTCATGGGCTTTTTTCTTTGTACTACTTCTTACCGCCTTTCCATTTGCACCTTTCTGTTCATTTGGAAGATTCTTCAACTGAATAATCTCTAATAGTTTCCCCTGGGTCTGGAGGTTACACCCAGTACCCCACTACCCTAGACTCAGTACTCCCCTTCTCCTCCATGATTCCAGAAACCCTTGTCTGTGCCCTCACCAACTGTGTTTATTAGAGACAGAACACTGTCTGTGTTCGCCTCCATCTTCCCGTTCCTCCATTTGTTTTCTTTCTTCTTCTATCTTTTTCTTCCACAGCATTTCATGGAGCCCAGGCTGACCTTCTACTCCATACAGAGTTGAAGAAGCCTTGAGCTTCTTGATCCCAAGTTCTGAGGTTACAGGTATGCTCCACCACGTCAACTAACAGGACACACCTTGTTCATCCTTACAGGGAGGTCATGTGCAGTGTTGGCATCAATATCATCTTTGAACTGAATTAAGTTTAAGGGAGATTGGGTAAGAAGATGTTGGAGTCCACTGCAGATATTCTTAGCTATTGTGGGATTCAAATGTTTGATGTGTGAAGAAACACAAATTAGATGTTTTTTATTGTTTAAAATGTCTATTTTGGAAGAGCTGTAACTTGAGGTGATGAATCCTTCGTTAGACCCATATCTCTTGTTGTGTGCCAAGAAGAAGCATTATTACTTTGACCTTTCCCAGATGATGATCCGTGTCAGTCAGCTCCACAGCACGTCCACCGTGTCACCTTTGTCCTTGCACCTCAGAGTACTGAGGCACACATTTGTGCTGTGTGCCATGCAGAGGACAGTACCAAGGAAGAGTTTGTCAGTGTTCATACCTAGAGCAAGCTAGTTGCTTTTGTAAATAAAGTTTTATTGGAACATGTACAAGCTGTTCATTCAAATGTCATTGTCTATGGCTTCTTTGTACTAAAATAGTACAGTTGAACCATTGTAACAGGCTTTGAAGCTTAGAGTCCAAAATGTTTGCAACTAGTGTTTTTGACATTGAAAGTTGTGTAACTCTTAGAGCCATTAGTTTTGGAAAGAATAAACTCCCCTTTTGTTATATCCAAGTTATATTAAAATCTGTGATTAGTAACTAGAAGAATGTGCTTTGAACAAACAAGCTTCAGCTAAGCAAGACTGTTGATGACTCTTCTCCCCAGCAGCCTGCATAGCACTGTTCGCTCTGAAGCCTAGCCAGTGAGGGGGAAGCACCAACTGTTTTCTTCATGTCCTGTTACCCAAGTGTGTGCTATCTCAGTGGTAGGGTCTTAACTGTCAAGCTCTGATGGGCAACCAAGTTGGAATAGCCTGGATTGTCATGGGGGTCTCCAGGATATCCCTCATGAAAAATTCAGGGGTGATATCTCATCTGACACTGGGCTTTCTATTGGGCAAGCTATGGCTTTTGCAAGAGCATTATGCCCTGTTTAGGGTAACTTCAAGTAAACACTTTTATATGAATGTGTGTGTGTGTGTGTGTGTGTGTGTGTGTGTGTGTGTGTTGTAACTTTATTTGCTCCACTGTGCGCTAGTGGCATAGATGTTATGGGAGTAACCTTTCTTGATTAATAGGAGGAAACACATGTAATTATGGCCGAGAACCCATGGATTGGGATCTCATAGACCCCCAAGGGTAAATCTACTATTCCTTTGATAAATGAACAAAGCATCAAACTGTCTTCTGAAGTCATGTCTCTATACTCATAGATTAGTGTAGCCTAGAATCAGATATTTCTCTGTTCAGAGGACAGCAGTTAACAAAGAAACTCAAAACTGGTCAAAGTGTTGTAGCTTGTTCAGCTATAAGTGGGACATCTATTTCACATCCCCTCCTCCCAGGGCTCAGGAGATGTCATGGAAGAAGGATCAGAAAGATAATAGGAGACAGCGATCAAGAAGAACTGGGCAGCCGTGCGGTGGTGGCACACGCCTTTAATCCCAGTACTTGGGAGGCAGAGGCAGGTGGATTTCTGAGTTTGAGGCCAAACTGGTCTACAGAGTGAGTTCCAGGACAGCCAGGGCTATACACAGAAACTCTGTCTCCAAAAACAAAAACAAAAACAAGAAGAACTGGGCAAACAGTGTCCTTTAGACCTGGTAGGACCGCCACACCCATGACTCGTAGCAGCTGTGGTTGCCTGTACAAGACCTACACAAGATCAGCATTCCAGCATGGAGTGGGAGGGGCACACCCTACCCCCGGCCGAGAAGCTTTAGAAAGTTGTTGGCTGCCTCTGGTAGGTTGGCCATGCTCCAGGAGGTAGCTCCACATCTATACACATATAGGCAACACTAATTAGACTTATAGGATATAGATATAGATATAGATATAGATATAGATATAGATATAGATATAG